AGGTCCTTTCCAACCCAAACCATTTTGTGATCTATGATTCTATGAATTTCCAGTACCTGGTTGATTATCAAAATTAGTCTGTCTTAATTACACTAACCCAATGACATATGTAGTGTTGGGGGTCTTTTGTGATGGGTTTTCTTTAATTAATAAATATGCACCTTACAAATATGTGTGTATACCTATGCATATATATATAACTATACGTGTATATATATATACGTAGAAGAATATATATTAAAAAAAGGTGAGTTATTTGTACACCTGTCAAAGAATTATGGAGAAAAAGAGGATAAAGAAATCAGTTGAGAGTTTATTTCCATATGAGCAAAAACCACAAGATTTTGGATCCCTTCCCCGTCCCTTCAATGTCAGGATTTGCCTATACCATATATAGAGAGCATTAGCCTAGAAGAGAACTTGTAGCAAATGCATTTGGAAAGATCCTCTGGGTAAAGTTTGCCCATCCTGTCACTAGGAAACACAATCTCTTAGTTAAGTTTTGGCTCGTGAGTAATATTACAGAAAGGAAAAATCCCCACAATTTATTGTCGTTAATTAATTTCTCTGAACTATAAAAATAATTGAAAGAAATAATATGCACAAGAAATCTTTTCTCCACACTGTGTTTGTAAATTAATTCTAATCAGATCTACTAAGCATTACAAACATTCTTATTGTTTTAACAGTGCTCAAAGAATAATATTTAATCTTTAATAATTTCTCCTGGCTTGTGTTTGGCATGGAATTTTGTTTTCATTTTACAATTTCCCTGTTTCCTTTATTTCCACTAGGAGAGAGAAACAGAAGAAGAAGATGTCAGGTGGCTTTCAGTTACATGCCTCAAAATGAAGATGAACTGGAATTAAAAGTTGGTGATATCATTGAAGTTGTGGGAGAGGTGAGCAGATCTTTAATGGAACATGTACACGTGCAGTTCTAACATATCTTATGCGTGTTAAGCTAGTAGATAAAGTGTGTTTTAAGACATAATTTAAACCAGACATTTTTCTTCTCTGCTATACTGATGTGTCTGGTTTGGGTTATTGCTGGGGTTGAGGGGACATGGTTGGTTGCTTATGGATTTCATGAGGGTTTTTTTCGCTGTAGCACTTCTGCTGGTTTTACTTGATCAGTTGATGCTTCTGAGCTCTGTTCAGGGAAAAGCTTAAAGTTTTTGCTAAAGGGCTATTGAGGTTGTATCTCCAAAGAACCAAGATTATAGCAGAAAAAGCTTTTCCAAATTTTAGTAAGCCAGCCACAGGGAAGAATTATCCTTATGGAGTTAAAGACATTTAAGAAATTTACTTAAAGGCCTCTGAAGTTCAGCCATGAATTTCATGTTCAGCACTTTTGTCATCTATGCCTGCAAATTTAAACTATTTCATTTTAGTCTAATCTGTAAAAAAACCAAACCATAAAACAAACAAAAAAACAAACTAACCAACAAACAAACCAGTAAAAAACCCCAAACAAACAAATAAAATCACCCTCCCCATCCTGGTTGCAGGATCAGGGAATGCTGTTCATTCCCAATACCTCAGTTTTGTTCCATTAGAGATTTTAGAAATATCTTCTTTAGCTAATAGCATAAGGACCGAAAGTCAAAATGCTAACATGAATCCTTTAAGTAGAGTGCATTCAAACTCGTTTAGTCTTTATGTATGTAGATTTAAAAAGATCTAAGCCTTTAGTCTGTGCAAGCAGCCAATAAAAGGTGTGTTTCAGCGTGTATCATTTATTTGTAGGATTTTTTTTCTCTGTGACTCAGCAGCTTAATAAGTCAACATTTATTTTCTCGTCAAGGGTATACGATTAGTTTTCTTTTTCCTGTATCTCTCACTTAAGAAATCAGTTCGAAAAGAATATAAATTCTACTGCAATCTACATGACATCCAGCGTTTTCTTATGAGAGATTTAATACTCAGATCTGAACATAAGAAGCTTAGTAATCACTGGTTTTTCTTTAACCTAGCTGCACATACCAGCTTTGCACATCATTCTTCTTGGAATCAGACATGATATGTCACTTAACTAACCTTATTCTGTTTGTGAGCAGAATTGTAACAGGGTATGTCAAGGTTGTAAGATATTTAAGAGCATATTTCAAAGACAATGTAAACCCAATATTATAACAAGTTTCATGGCAGCACATGAGCTGTTTTCATTGCACAATTTGAAGTATATTTGACCTCATATGGCCACATAAATATGTTCCCTCAGCTGCCCTACTTAAAACTTTTAAGTCTGTGTCTTTCAAGAGTGAAGTGATGGAATAAAACCTCTTCCTAGTAGCCAGCCAACAAATTAACTCTACTGAGTGAATTGTATGATTAAATAATTTAGATGGAACACTAGACTTCTCTTATGAAATGCCATCTCTTGTCATCTTATGAATTTAAACAACTTAATTATAAATAACAGATTTGCATTAAAATTGAAAGATGTAGAACTATGAAACATTCCTGTACTTGCCTGTGTGTACTTATAGTTAAGGGCATGTCTTTTTGAAACCTACTTGGATTGCCAATTGCAGACTTCATAGTCTTAAACTCATAATTGTACCTTGAATTACTACTGTTGAAGAAAGCACTGACAACTTGCTGATTCTAAGGTTTAAGAAAATATATTGTCTAGGGCTGCTTTTTTTCATTGGCAGTCCTAAAGAATATCACACTGGAATTAGTTTTACTGTACTGTTGAAGAGGATTGCTCATAGCTAGCTTGAGCTGCTGGCCATAACTAAATGCCGAAGAAGAGTAGCTGGCACAGATGAGGCTATGTCCACTTTGACCTTATGAAATACCCTGTTCTGTCACCTTCTGAAATTTAAGCTCTGCCTCAGGCACCATCTGGTACCTTCGCGCGGTTCAGGACATTGTCTGACTCTTCTGGGTGGAACTAGATCAGCTGGTGAAAGAAGATAAAATAAAGGACTGTAGAGGTGTAGTAGCCCCATGTCCTTCTTCCTGTTGCCAACAGGTTGGATAAGATAGATACTTTCGAAAGGATTTATATGTCTGTGGTAGTGGTAGATACTATTGGGAATTCCTGTTGTGGCAGAAGTGGTGTGGGGCTGTACAGTGAGTGGACTGAAACACCAGCTGCAGCAAGTGTGAGTTCTGAGATGCTAGGCTTGTCATCAGATAGATGTCCTTGGAGACTGTATGTTCAGAATTCACAGTTCCTTCCTATTTGTTCTAAATAGTTAGAAATTAATTATAATAAGATCAAACATCACAATAGATAAAATGCTTGTTGTTAAACTACAGGTTTCCATAACTACACAGACACTGATACCCCTGAGACATTAATTAGCATACTTAAATTAAAAGTACATTTGAAACTAACAAGAGAAGCATTTTCATCATTGTTTACACTCATGTTTAATGTGTGATTGATAAGATTTTTGCTTGTCATTTTCTGAGCTCATTAGCTGTAACTCTAATTACAGTTGTCCCAAAATACAACTGTAACTAATTGTCTTATTAAATGCAGACGTCTGAATTCCAATTATGTTTCATCCTTAGACTTTCATGGGATGCAGATAATTAACCTATAGCATCAGAGTAACGACATTTGGCATGTCATTCAACAGTTCTAAGCCTCATTTCATCTGAGGTTACTCTGTTGTCATGCTGCTACCTAGCTTTTTGCATCCTCCTGCTGAGAAGTAAGCTTTTTGGCAATGTGAGGTGCACGGATTTAAGCTCACAACTAAGTCTGAGACATGCTATAGTACTGCTGAGCTTATTCTTTGACTTTTACTTAATAGCCCACATATTACGTGATCAAATACTATAGGTAACTCATTTGAAAGTACAAAAATTCAATCTGCACTTTTACAAATCTGTTGCTCTTTTTGGGCAAGGTTGGTGGGGTGATGTTGTTGTTATGAGATAAAGTGGTTCAACCCATTTCCAAGAACAGGATAAACACTGGGAGTTGAGCTGGACTTGCCTTACAGTAACTTATATTGACAGCTGTAGAGTTGAAAGGGGAATATTTGATGGTGGAAAGGGGATGATTGTGCCACAAGTACAGAACCATACAATGCTCAAGAAAACAGCTGTGAATGTATCCTGGGGTTCCCCATCTCTCAGTTACTTTTCTGTGAAAAGCAGTGGTAAGGTATTTTTCCTGCTGCTCTTCGAACAGATGGTTCACAAGGACTTCTATGGCTACTGCTTGGTTAGTTCATGTGGTACGAGGCTTTTTTTGTGGAAATAAGGGTACAAATACCTCTGAACTCTTTATAGGGTCATTTCAGTTCTTTGTGATTTCTTTCTCTGTTCCTCAGTTTCTTACATAGAAGATTATGTTTAAAAAACCCAACAAAACCCCAAACCACAAAAAAACCCAAAAAACCAAAACAAACCCAAATGAAAAAAACCCAAAGCACATTTTGACATTGTAAAATAAAGACCTCTGAAGCTGAAAAGATCCCCTAATACAAGGTGCTTGTGCAGTTTTTCTTTCTTCCCTTCTGCACCAGAGTTACCAAACAGCTAGCACAGAAGCCCAAGGACTGGCTGACATCTCATGGGTATGGCTCTCTCAGAATGCACTCCCAGAATAAGCCATCAAGTGGCACTGTAGGCACCATTTTCTGTGGAGGTCTTGCTTCCGAAAGTTCTTTTCCCATTGGCAGTAAATGTAATGTGTTTATTTTACCTCTTGGGAATCTATGTTTTTAATTTCCTTTCAACATATGATTGCTTTTATACTTCAGGCTCAAGATCTTCCATTAGAATTTATAAAATATCTTTTTCCTTTGCTTTCCTTTGCTCAAGTTCTCTCTAAGCTTGACCTTGGTCTTCTCTCCTTCCTGTTGCCTGCCTCTGGCATTTCTTTTATTCCTGGGACTGTGTTTTAGTTTTAACAGCCCAGAAAGACTGTGTTGTGATCCAGGGAGACTTTATTCCACCTGAAACCTTTCCTGACTCAAAGCTTCCCTTTGTGGGCTGTGTGTAGTTTACCAGCCTAATAGGCAAAGCTACAGGTTGTAAAAGAGGTTGTGAAACAGGCACATACAGGAGTTTACTGGAAACTAAAGGCCAGTTTAATTAAGGCCAGTGATTCCAAATAGCTGGAAATTTTAATCATTTAACAACTTTGGCCTATTAATTATATACCAAGGTGTAAGCAAGCAGCTGTAGCAGTCCTAAATATTCTGGCAAGCAACTGCTGGTAGTTGGCCTCGGCACTTTCTGCTCTTTTTGGGTATTCCATCCTGAAGATACAGGGATGGCCACTCAGTTCTGTCGAGGGAAGGGGTTGTCTAGGCTTGTAGCAGCATTTGTTGCACTGCAGGTCAGCTGATGCTCCACCTGGCACTTCCTTATTTAAAGGGAGATGTTGCAGATTGTATTGGCCATGAAGAGGAAACCTAAATAACGTAAAAAGTAACATTTCCTCACTGTTGGAATATTTTAATCTTGTGTTCCTAGTGGCCTACTAAAGTGATTATGTTTTCTTTGGTTGTTTTACTGTTACAGAATAAAACTGCATTCCTGGTCTAAAGTAGAACTACAGTGTTTCCCTGAATGCTTGAACTACTGTCATATTATTTTCCTTTTTCCTTTTTTTTTGTTTTTTTTTTTTTTTTGTTTAGCTATTCTTTAAACATGAAAATAGGCTGAATTCAGTATTTTTTTTTATTTATAAGCAGCTCAATGTCATAGCATCTCTATACCCTCTTGAGAACTTCTTTGCGTGTCTGAATGTCTCACACATATAATTCCCTGTGTTATTTTCCTGCCTGTCCACTTCTACTGTATCTATTTTGAGCACTTCATTATAATTTCTTGTTTATATCATTATTTGTAAGTGAAATTAACTATTACAACCTCTTGATGGCTTTCTAGTCTGGGTTGTCATTGTGTGCAGGGATGTACCAATTTCATTAAGTAATCTCTAACAAATTATATGAATATATTTTGCATTATTTTAATCTGTATTTGGTTTATAGTTTCCAAACCTCTCATTTACATAAAAAGCTCTATTGATTAATTCAATTAAAACCAAAATATAAGTATTTTTTCCTCATTGAAGATGTAAAAATACCCAAAGCCCAATGATATTGGAAGAATACTTGAATGTTACATAATTATTATATAGATTAAATTTCCCTTTAAATCCAAAGGCAAGGCTTCTTAATGGGAAGCATTTCTCTTGAGATGATGCACCATTCTCTGGTGACACTGTCATTTCTTTCTTGTCAGTCAAATCCAGGCATTGGACCACGTATAGCTGCCTTTTATTGCATCTGTCCCTGCCCCATGCATGACATTGACTAAGTTGCAGTTGGGTGCATGTGTTGTCACCTCCCTAAATACATGAAATGGAGCAATGAATTGTCTTCAGTCACTTTCCTCTATGTTGTTGCCCTTCAAATGTGGTGTGACAGTAGTATTGGCAGCCTAGGGGCCTGGCAAGATAAGAATGTGCCATGCCTCTCTGAAAGGCAGTGAACTAATATAACAGACTGAAAATATGTCTTGAAAATGCCTCTAGCTGTGGCCACTTACATTTGGCAGAATTACAGAATGGTTTGGGTTGGAAGGGACCTTTAAAGATCATCTAGTCCAACCCCGCTGCAATAAGCAGGGACTTCTTCAGCTAGACCAGGTTGTTCAGAACCCTGTTCAGCCTGACCTTGAGTATCTTGAAGAGTGGGGCATCTACCACCTCTCTGGGCAACCTCTTCCAGATTCAAACAATTCTTTTCCTAACTTTTCAGGCTGAACTTTACAGTTTATATGTAGGGTACTATGAATAGTAGAACTTCTTTTCTGGCATTGGGACATGGACTACTGAATGAAATCCTCTTTTTAGATTGTTTGGCCTGGCATATAAATGTTGGGCATGAATCAGGACCTAGATATATAAATCCTGAAAGCACTTTGTTATAATAGTATAGTAACAAATTTTATTGAGTGCTTGTATCTCCAGATGGATTACCTCCATGAACTTTGTAAGGTTTTATTGGCTGGGAATTATTGCAGCATTTCAAATCATATGGTGATGGATTGTCCCAGTTTGGGATAACTAAACCCCAGAGGTATTTTAATGTCTTCTTTAGTGTATGGATTAATCTCTAGCTGGTGTTTTGAGGCTTAAAGGTATGTAGCATGTAGCTGTAGTGTTTAAAAATACTTAAAGCTTTTGATGAAAATTTCCTAATAAATCTTTGGGAGGCCTAGTTTGACCTCAGCCTCTAATGTCTTGCTAACATTCCACATTTTCTCATGGAAAAAGCTGGGTTTTCCTTTAGATTTTTCTGAATTTGTAAAATTACTGATGTGACATTGTGTTTTCAGAGAATTCATTCTTGTATCAGCTGGAAAATTTATAATAAGCTAATGAATGCTGTAAGTATATTCACATCCAGTTTAGATTTACCTGTCTAAAGATCTTTGTCTATGTGTTTTTCTATCCACATACATAAAGACCCAGACATAAACATGTCGCACAAAGGACGCTAATGTTAACTTGTAAGAAAACTGTAAAATGTTACCATGGAAGAAGTAAGCAGAAGAAAACTACCTGAGGGAAAGATGGAACCGAGTTAGTTGGTCACCTTCTTTCTGTCAAGTAATCTCAGCATCTTGCAAAAACCAGGGATCTTGGGAACTGTGTAAATCCCCTGTGATTAATCTTCTGGTCAATCAGCTAATGCAGTTATGGTTTAATGTTTAGTTCAAATCAATAGAGCCATCTGGGAATACTGCATTAGAAAAATTGAAACGTGTTATAGCTTAGAGAGTCTTGGTTACATCGTATATTTTCTATATAACAATATAGCATGTATAGGTATTTAGAGATGTAATTAATAGAGTCTACTAAGTGTTGTGTGTCATTCAGTTTCAGTTTTCCAAATGTTTTTTAATTTGTCTGGAGAGAAGAAAAGCAAATATTGCCTTTTAGAGACTTTAATATTATAATGTGGGAAACCTGCAGCCTATTGAAGTGATTGAGTGATTTGTATATATTCTATCCTCTGAAGTAGATGGAAGAAAATAGCCATTATTCCCAGAGTTGTTCTTGAGTTCACTAATATTGCTGATGCATTTGGCAGCAGGGAAGAAGGGGAAAATTTGTTATGGGCAGGTACTGAGATTAAATGAAGGTAGCTGTGCTGGTCTGAACTGCTTTCAAATCAAAACAAATAGATCAAACCAGGAAGACAAGAAATGTGCTAAAATGGTTGAAGATGAAAGAGAAAGCACAGGAAACGCTCCTGAATTAACAACAGTTTTCTTTGTAGTAAAATAGTACATGTAGCTAAGTTGGAAAAAACCCAGCCATTCCTCTATAGTCTGAGGAAATATTTGCTTGTATTAAGAAATCTGTTTTCTAAGGACTTGAGATGTTCACAGAGAAGCAATACAAAACAGGTTGGATTTTATTTTATTTTTATCTTTAAGTTAAGGTGTGGGGTTCTTTTTTGGACATTAAATGTGAGCACCCTCAATTTGTAAAGTCAAATTTCTATTTTCATCATTTTGGGGGGGGGGCAGAAAGAGGAGGGTCAAACATTATTGGAAACTGATTGATGTGTCACACTCTGATACTGTCCTTCCCTGTCATTTTTTTGGTGAATTGACAGTGACTGACAGATGAAAATTATTTATCTGTCAAGGGTGTGTTTGGCTGATGCATACAAGTAACTTCTTGCTGTCCCATTTTAACCTAAAGGCATCTGGTTTCTGAGGGCTGTCATTTCACTGCCTGACACTGCCATTCAACCCTGAATGGATTATACAGGAGGGAGTTTGTAATTTTTAAGTGGTATTTTCTCTTGGGATTGGCCTAAGAAGTGTCTCTCCTCCTTCTGACGGTATCATTACTGTGTATTTCAGTAGCATTTTTTTAAAGCTAGAGTCAGATATGCATTAGCACTGTTCTTTGTTCTCCATAGATTTCTTACATTAACACATTAATGATATAGCAACTTTCTTAATTTTCAAGAGAATTTCTGATTTTGATGAGGAAGGCAAGAATATTCACATGATTTATATTAAGATACCTAGTTTAGATTTTCTGAATAGCCATTTGCAGGCATTTCTCTTTTGCCATTGATGCTTAGGGAATTTAAACTCTTATAATCTGCTAATCACATGCATCAAGAAGATGAGTAAGAGTACAGTGTGCAGTGCAAATTTAGTGATTGAACTGATATCTGTAAAAAATTCGATGTAGAGACACCGTGTGCTCTCTAGTTGTTTTTTTTTAATCCTTTTGTTTAATGTTCGTCCATGCTTCTTACTGCTGTCAGCACTGCTGACATTTACAGGTGGGTGCATGCATCTTTCTTGATTTTACTTAAAAAAAGAAGAAGAAAAAAAGAGGTATTTTCTGGCTTGGAGCCTGTGTCATGTGTTCCTTATACCTGAAATAAATACAAATGACTCAAAATCATTACTGTCATTGTTATTGAAAATCATGTACATAATCTAACTCTGTGAAGTGTTCATTATATTGACCTCCCGGCTTTTTGTTTTTGTCTTGGTGCAGGTAGAAGAGGGCTGGTGGGAAGGTATACTCAATGGAAAGACTGGAATGTTTCCTTCCAACTTCATAAAAGAACTGTCTGATTCTGATGATGCTGGAATAGAAGAGCAAGTAAAGCCAAGTAAGCTAAAAATATTGATGTTCTGTATGTATGGCTGTGTCTTTACTCCCTAATGCGTTGATAGGGTAGCACATTTTATCTCTTGCTTGAAAGTGTTTTTGAATGACATGTTCTTAATTTCTGCTGTGAAAGGTTCAGATGATGATAAGTGGGTACTTGCAATGGTACCTGAGTTGTAATTAGCAATTAGCTCTGTGAGCTGTGTTAAGACTTACCAAGCTGCACCAGACCAGGAATAGAGAAGGCAATGATGATTTGTATTTCAAAATGAATTAAAAAATGTTTTTTTTCCTTTAGATGTGGAAACTGAGCAAAGTAACCAAACATCTACATAGTGGCTGTGCTTATTTAAATGAGGGATTAAAGTGCCATGCCTTCTATAATGACTCCAGTAGATTTAAGGATTCATAATTATTGGTGTGGGACATGCGGCACTTTTTCCCTCCAGGTGCTGAGCATGTTACTATCACCTCCGTCACCCACTGCCCCAGCAGCCAAAGGGAAAAAGGCCAGAACTGGGACATGGACTTTGTTCTCTTACTTACAGTGGGCCAGTACTGCTGCAGGTGAAAAGCATGTTTGGTAACTAAGTTTGCAATAGTATAAGCATGGTAGTGGGTTGTCCTATTTATAACTTTCCTTGGAGAATAACCTGAACCAAAAGTATGCTTTTATATGGAATGGACACCTGTTATCTTTATGTTTTCTCTGTTCTTCAAACAGATATTCTATTTCTTAATTCAGTGGTCAATTCTTTACTGAAAAGAGAAAACGTCAATTGTATTTCCACATTTCAGGCTAATTCCATAATATCTGCCAAAGTCTTCCTATTTTCAGCACTGCAGATATTCATTGCTATGTAGTGGTATTCTGGATCTCTGAACAGAAGAAAAAGTGAAAGCACTCCTGTGGTCTTTGTAAGCTTATTTCAGCTGAAATTTACCAAAGCCTTTATAGCTCAATCTTTCTACCTCTCACCTCAGTAAGAGGTAGAAAGTTATAATACTTCTTTTTCTTTCTTTTTCTCCATTTTTCCATTTAAGGCCAATTTATCATCTTTATTGCATCCCACAGAAATAAGATCCTAAAAAACCTGACTTCTGCAATGATGAAAATTTTTCATACTGTTTTTGTAATGCAGTACCTATTCATGTGTAGTGGCACTGGTGACCTAGTCTTGTGGTCAGTGCTGCTAAAGATATTTAGAAGTGACAGTCCTTCAGGCTGGAATGAAAATATTTTTAAGGAAGTTGACAATTTTAGTGTGATAGAAAGGGAAAAAGAAGGGGGATTAAGTGAATTTGCACATTTCAGTGAGATTGTGAACTGCTTTCTATAATCTGTATATGCTATCATGTATTCTGTTCATTATAAACACAGTGAGTCTTGGAAGAATTAATGACATAGATATAGTTTCAGCTCTGGATTATGTAGTGTTTTGTACTTTATAAATGAACAAGGTAAGTGATACTGTTCAGGATGGAATACCCCAATTTTATTGGTAGGAATGAATGAATATTCTTTCCCCAGGTAATTTGGTAATATTTACTTTATAATAAACATCCTGAAAGTGTCTTTTAATGAAAGTGTGAAAGCAGCCACAAAGCACTAACTTGTTTTGTCAACATCCATAAAGGCACATGCTTAGTTCAAACTCAGTTTTGTGTGCTGGTTCTGACCGTCAGTGGAACCCCAAACCTGTAATAACTTGTATTAAGAAAATATTGGTAACGCAGATACTGGTTTTGTCTCTTTAACTAAATTGAAGGTAACTATGTAAAAAAGTTCGTTTTTCTTCTTTCTTACATGAAATTCAGCTCTTTGGAGGTGCTTTGTGGCTATGATGTGTTATTAGAAGCTATTTTTAAAATATCAAAATAGCTATAAAACATATGAACGCTGTAAGCCTCCTCACAGAGAGACAGAGACTCAAGGAATGTTGAGATTCTCATGTGGGTTTTAATGCTTTATTTTTATTTTTCTTCAAGTAAACCCATCAATTTAAGAACTGCATCCCCTTAGCAGAATTGTGGGAAATACGCTTTTTTCTATATGGTTTATGTAATTATTACAGGTGTTGCTCCAACACATGGAGCTTTATAAGGCTCTGTTCAGGTACACTGACTACATGGATTTGAGAATCTCCATGAGACTGCAAGAATTTCGGCAAGTTTATACAACTGACTAGGAATGATAATCTTAGTCCAAGTAGCTGCACTTAGTCTTAAAGCACAGAAAATAAAAACCAAACAAATAAATTTGGGAAGATTTGGCCATGAGGCTACCATTACTGTTGAAATGATCTGGGAAATATCTCAAAAGGGTATTTACATTAATGCCTCCTGATCAACTCCTTCCTCTCTGGATGTCAAGACATGACAGCACTTCAGATGTGCAATAATTCATTTTTCTTTCTCTGGAAACAAAATCTGTTTGAATATTTCTGTATCACAGGATTTTGTAAGGCAGAAACCTGGTATACAAATGTTAGATTATTAAGTTAGCACTCAGGCATGAGGGGCTGTACCTGCACATTGAACTAGAACCTTAGGCAGTCACTGAGGTTCTACACAGCTTCTAGAGGGGCCTAGAAAGGGTTGAAGAATGGCTCTGCAGTCATAAGCAGCCACCTTGAATTCTTCAGCCCAGCCTGTAAAATGGGTAAGGTAATACCTGACAGGTTTACTGTGCGACTTGAGAAAGTAGCACAGGATCTTTGGAGAAGGGCACTGTGCAAACACAAGAGTATTTTTTAGTTAATAGTTAAATTTAATGCTTTTGTTAAACTTAGTTAAATTTAATCATTCAATCACATTTTACTGACCGTCTCTAAAGAGAACCTTTTTGGAGGGGCGAATGTAAGTTTTGTTGAACTCAAAGGGGAAGAAATACAGAAGATAAAAATGATATAACTTGGCTTTTTATGAATATAGTTAAAAATGCATATTTTTCTGCCCTTGTGTTATGACCTACACAGGCCAAAAAGGAGAAAGGGGCTGTCTGATTTTGTTGGTTTTGTTGTGTCCATGTATATTTCTTGTCAGATCAGAGTAAATGCCCCAAAGGTATTATCTTGTTTTCTTGCCATACACTGCCGTAGGGTAACCTCAGAAGTTTCTTCAGAACAAAAAGCCCCTGTTTTGAAAATATTTGAGGCTAGTTTTGGTGATGCCTAAATATTTCTGAATATTGACAGTGGGACTTAACTTTAAGGGGTTGGGAACTTGTGCTTCTCAGATGGTGGGTACTCAACAGATTGGAAAATGAGACCTTTAGAAGATCAAAACATTGTGGGTTTGGGGCTTTGTTTATTTGCTTTTAAAGTATTTGTCCCAGATGTAAGGTGACTGCCAAATTTTTTGTCTTCAAAGGCACATTTCAGAATGTAAGTATGGACAGGATCAGATACCCTTAGAGTACACAACAGTTCTTTGTTCTTTAAAGCATCCTCCTAAATGAAAACACTGCTTTTCTTTGACCTACTGTTACAATATGGTCATGAAGTGCACATTATCATTCTATTACTCTATTGAATGGATGCATGAATTATAAGATTATTTTCTAGATTTCTGATATATATTTTAGAGTATTTTAATACCACATCGTGTTATTACAGGTTGTCAAGAAGCAAAGAGTTGTGATGTAGTCAAATAAACCATATGAGAGAAATCACAAGTTAATATTAAGGAGATGATTTCAAAAGCATTTTAGTATGTTCATGGCAATGTCATGACAACATTTAAGGGTGGCCTTTTATATCTTGATGTTTCTTGTATGTGTCTGTTCAGGAATTGCTAGGCCATATGGTATGTATCAAATATTTTTAGAACCTGTTAGTGATGGCCACTGAGAAGTCATGACTGCTGGAGTTAGAACTGATGATAGACTCATCAGCTAATGGTTTTGTCAGGCAACCTCCTGTATTTTGAGTTCTTAAAACTTCAGATATCCATTAATGTCTCTCTGCCTCTCCTTAATGTCATGAATCTTGACGTACCTTTCTCTTAGCTATATCTTAATTGTGTTTGACTGTTTTAATAGCATTTTTTAATGGTATTTTGTAAAAACAAGGGTGGAAAGATGGATTTCTGACTTTTTACTTCCTCATTCTACAAAAATAAGGCAAGGAAAATCATTTGTTATTAATTCAGCTGCAAGAACGAAGAAACAGCTTTTTACGATCGCCAATGAGTATAGTTTTTTATTTTTTGAAAGTCCAACAGAATGATATGCAGGGTTAAAAATACACATTTTGTACCAAAATGGGTGTGGTATCCATGTTGGGACAATTCATATGTACTGGCTATTTTGTTATAAAATTTTACTGAAGACATTAATTTTTAATGATGGTATACATAGGTGAGAATGACAACAAGGTGACATTGGCCTACTCTTGGGCTTGCCTAGGTACCTCAGGTTTAAAAAAAAACCCCAATACACACAACACTTCAGCTGCTCATGCCTTTACCTTCACTTGAATTTCGTATCATAAATGTCAGAGCATGAGTTACCTTGCTATCAAAGAGAAAAAAACCCAAGAGATTTACGGTCTTGATAATAAAAATCTTAAAGATCTAAGGTGGGAAGTGGGATTTGTTTGGAGTGGGGTTTTTTTTTGTTGTTTTTTTGTTGTTTGGATGTTTTCTTTTTCAATTTACTATTTTGGTTTTGTTAAGGTGTAACAAATCAAACACCCGATAAAGCTATCGTCTGAAAAACTGATTTATTCAGGTTTTAGTGTCCTATCCTTCAACTAAGTATTGTTTAAGAACAGTTCCCATGTCCAAAACACTTCTAATAAGTCATCTTGGAAAGATGCAGTCTTTCTCATGCTCACAGGATCCTCGTATATTAAAGAAATGTGAGTATTTCATTGCCCTGTTTGGATGTCAGCTGTGCTTGTTCGAGTGCACTACATCTGCATCAGGAGTGTTGAGCCGCTGTGAGTACATCATTGCAGTAATAATTTTTTTCAGGCTTCCCCTGCACTCTATAAGGAG